AATGGGGGTTGGTGTGTCAGAATTAGTGAGACTGGCTTAGGGCAGGGCAGGGTTCAGAGATGCTGTACATAAGGTCCCTATGGGTTGCAGACAACTCGATGGCACATAACAACAACTGAAATAAGTGGAGACAATTGGGATAGATTTCAAAGAGAACTATTACAAAATCATCACAAAATAAGTAGAGCAATACTATTGTTCTTACATGCTGTCATGATGAATACAACTCACAGCAACCCTATGAACAAGAGATCTGAACCTGTCCTATATCATCTTTGATACATTTGAGCCCACTGTACATTTTAAAATGACACTGGTATTGAAAGTGAAGATAAAGGTACTTCAGTGGTCTGCACTTCATGAAAGTCACAGAATTAGGATCCTAAAGAAAGTAGAAATGTATCAAAGAGGGAGACAGGGAGGCAAGACAATGAGAAATTAGGTATCAGAGGGCTTAACACTGGTTCTGATGAGAGAATGAATATTTTGTCAAGACCAGAAGAACAAAGTGACTTCAATATGATGAAGAAAATGTAGCAAGAGTCTGGGTCAGGAAGCAACAAATTAAAAAAAAGTTAAAACAGGGAAGGTATTTTATTCCAGCAAACAGGACAAGCTCCGCATGTGTCAGAGAAAGAAAATAATCATATCTGTCAATGGGAATGCAAATATATCTAAAAATGATAAGGAAATAGAAGTAGAGAAAGTAAGCACTATTTGTATCTTCTTGTTGTTATTATGTGCTGTCAAGTCACCTGTGACTCACAGTGACCCTACTCACAATAGCTCTGAACCCTGCTCTATCCTGAGCTAATCTCACTGTTTCTGACACATCCTTTCTCATTACCCCAGTTACTGTGTCAATCCATCTCATCCTGGGCCTGCCTCTCCTGTGCTGTCCCTCCACCCTTCCAAACAAGATATCCTTCTCCAAAAACTGTTCCCTGCTGGCTACACGCCCAATATGTATGTGAGATGGAGGCTCAAAACACCCTTGTTCCAAGGAGTAGCTTGGTTTCACCCTCTAAATCTTATCTCTATGTAAATAATGTATAAAAGAAATAAGTTATATTCAAAGATTAGAATTCTAGTCAAGCCCTCTAGTAGCACAATGTCAGAAGTTTAAGAAAACAGATAAGAGAAAAACAATGTATATGAACTTTGTAAGTAAACCAGTACATTAAAACAAACAAACAAACAAACAAAAAACCCCTCCAAAAAAATCAGATGTGAGAAAAACAGGTGCAAACCTTCCCAGGAGGCAAGTTTTACTTGCCTACATCAATCCACACCATGGGGCAGTGGCACCAGCAGCTGAGCGACAGGAGTACAAATTCTGGCTCAAAAGACATAGATACTCAACCATTAAAGTAAGCTCACGCCATCAGTGCAGCCCTGGGGTGACAGAAACACAGGGTACAAAGAAGACAAGGAAATAAGGAAGCTCTGAAGAGGACATATGTGAAGGAAAAGCACATCCAATGAGAAACGACTACAGTCATCACCACTGCCAAGTTCTCAGAGCAGTATCTTAAATGCTACTCAGAGAAGTGAAAGTGGGCAGAGCCTTTCCAAGATACAGAAATAATTCCTTTATAAAACAACTATGAGATATCATTTCACCCCAGTCAAAATAGCAAAATTTAACAGAACAGCAAGCAACAAATGCTGGCGAGGTTGTGGAGAA